TACTAGTGAGGGTTATTATACTCACCCCACTTTTTTAAGATTTTGTCCGCAAAATTAGGATCGTACTTGGAAACAAATTCAGGATATAGCCGGAGGATCTCATCCTCACGCTCCCAAGTAGTCTCCTTAGACGTTCTGTCTTCCCATTGAATCTTAATCATTGAGATTGTCTTATTTCTCAATTTCCTTTCATCTATGTCAAGAATTTTCCACGGCCCCACAGAAGTCTTAAGATTCTCCCGTATCTGAACCTCGTCAAGCTGTACAACAAGGGATTCATCCCAAATATCTCTCTGAAGCTGAGACACGTGGAATACATCATGAATACCAGATAACTATGGAGGCAAGGCAAGCTGATAAGCAACCGGTCCCAACCATTTTATTATCTGATAGGGATCGATAAACCTGGGGCTCAACTTCCTTACTCCAAAAGCACGCCCCACAACTATCACATCTGACAATCTTTCAAAGACATGCTCACCCTCTGTAAACTCAAAAGGTCGATGCTTATGATTATAATAGCTTTTCTGGAAACTCTGTGCATGTTTCAATTTATCTCTGATCATTCTAATATGATTAGAAGTGTCATGTACCAAATTTGGTCTAATCAATTGCCTCTCTCCAACCTTAGTCCAACAAGTAGGTGATCTACACTGTCGGCCATACAAAGCCTCATAAGGTGTCATGCTTAAACTTGAATGGAAACTATTATTATACGAGAGCTCTACCAGTGGAAGGTACCTATCCTATGCCTTACCCTGCTCCAGGGCACAGGCTCTCAGCATGTCGTCCAGGGTCTGAATAGTCCTCTTTGTATGACCATCATTCTGAGGATGATAAGTCGTGCTCAGTCTCAACTGAGTGCCGAAAGCCTGCTGCAGTGCTCCCCAGAAGCGAGATGTGAACTTCGGGTCCCGATCGCTCACAATGCTTTCAGGGCCCCCGTGAATTCTCACAATCTCCTTCAAATTGAGTCCAGCCAACTGCTCTGTAGTAAAAGTCACCTTCACTGGCAGAAAATGGACAGACTTCGTAAGCCTATCAATAATAACCCATATAGAATATCCAACATGAGTCCTAGGCAACCCAACAACAAAACCATGGAAATACGATCCCACTTCCATATCGAAATATGCAGAGGTTAAAGAAAAACCACCATGTCTCTAGTGTTCAATCTTAACTTTCTGACATATTAGACACTTCTCAACAAACTTTGCAATGTCATTTTTCATACCTGAAATCCTTATTTACATGTCTCATAATTCGCATGCAAAGTATACATATGCGACTGGACTCATTGTTTCTATCTTAAATCATATACTACCAATTCTCTTACATTCATTGTACCTTAGCCAGAATCTCTCTTTCTCTATTTCGGCACCTCTATGAGTCTTGCTCAAGGAAATCAATTCTTTTAAGCAGTAAAAGTCCAGATAATGCAACAACATATATATATATATATGTGTGTGTGTGTGTGTGTGTGTGTGTGTGTGTGTGTGTGTGTGTGTGTGTGTGTGTGTGTGTGTGTGTGTGTGTGTGTGTGTGTGTGTGTGTGCGTGTGTGTGTGTGTGCTAACAAGTCTACTGACCAGAGAATGCATGATTTACGCACATCAGCTACACGCATAAGAAGCATAAGACATGTACCTTATACCCCCACTCAGGGATTACCATCTTGTGCAGCTTCATACTACACTCAGGGATTACCATCTTGTGTGTAATACACCATATAACATACATATATAAGAATGCATCATTTCAATAATCACATATACCATTTCTTACTTATTCCACTTCTTGGTGGTTTTAGGATATAACCTCAAATTGGAAAAACATAAATCTTGTTTATCAATCCAACATCTTATCATCATGCAACCAAGAATTGATTGCACTGTGCACTCAGCACACTAGGACCACCCGATGAGTCTCAACTCAAAGCAGTATCCACATGGAACTTCCAAGAGCCACACCACGTAGGTTACAATCCCCAAAGGGAAGCTAATGCCATAGATTATTGGCCAATGAACTAACAGACACACTAGCCTTTCGTGTACCTCGTACAAAAGATAATGAGTCTCAACTTGAACGAGTGTCTAAATGAAACTCCTAAGAGGCAACCTCTTCGGACACATCCCCTCCAGGGCACATTTTTCTATAGCCAATAAGCTCACTCAATCAACTCACCTTCAATCGATTATACCCGCAAGTATATCAGTCTCAATCAAGTAAATCCTCAGGCCTTCAGCTGTTACAAGATTGCTCATACCACCAGGCCATTCCCTAAGTTGCCGCGCCATCATAAGAATACCCATGCAACCAGGTCATTTCCCATGCCTCCATCCATCACGAGAATACCTATGCAACCAGGTCATTCCCCAGGCTAGCACACCCACAAAGGAATATCCATAGGTGGCACTATCATAGATTTCTTTCAATAAATATTACACTAGGTCTATCCACCTAATCCTTACACACAAGGAACACTGATTAGACTAATCCTGCAAGTCTTTTGATTTTCATACCTCTGACTGGATTGAGACTATCCTTTGTATTGAGAGATTTTATTGTTTGCACTCGACCCCCAACTTTAGGCACTGATACAACTTGTATACTTACAACTTGTTCGATCCTTTCAAAACACTTATTGTCCAGGTTAAATACCATTATGATATCCTACCATCAATTTGCACAAGCTTACCAATTCAATCACTTGGTCGTTCACTCATCGTTGAACCATTTCCAAAAGGAGTCAATCTCTCAGCTATCTCTAGCAATTCATCACACGAATAAGTGTTCGAACTTATGTTCTCGATCCAAGAACAAACGATTTCACTCATGCAGTCCAAACAGAACAAGCACAAACAGACACTCGTGCCTCTACCTGCTCCAATCACTGGTATAATAATGCCACATACAGTCATTTATGCACCAAAAAAATCTTGACTGTTAACAATATCCATCGTTTCCCCAAGTAGTGCATTTGTCCGTCTTTGGATTAACTTACATAGTCTCTAGTACACACAGTACCTTACTGTACTTAATGATTAAGTCTACAATGGAATCCAATTCCATTTTCTCACTTTGTGCCTAGCACATGTCACCATATAATCTAGGATGGACACAAATAGTGGGATAACATGATTGTGCCAAGAGCTATTATACAACATTCCTCTTGTGGTATTTAAAAGCATTCATGCTTATACCAATCATGCGCATTAAGATTATCCACCCACTAAACAACTCTTCAAGTCATTCCGCCTGGAAAGTATTTCATTCAACTTTCATCCCAAGTAGAACACAGTTTCAGCAATCGTCCTTAGTCCTTCTCACTAAGTGAAGACATTTAGGTAGCAAAAATTCATTTTATCACTCCCTCCTTAATTATCTCTCTTCTTAAAATTGTTATCAAATTGTTTAACTTGTAAATCTTTACTTCCTTTATTCATCCAAGAAATAAAGCCACTTGCTTTAATAGGATCAGACTCTTTAGCATTCTTTATCTTCTGCCTTTTATGAAGATCCTCGACAACAGGACACTATAACCAAGGAATACATTTCCATTATTATCCATCATCAATGCATACATACAGTAATATTCATCTCTGCAGTACTATTTACGTATATGTCACTATTCATGTATACGACACTATTCAAAAATACAGTATCTTTAACTTTTCCGAATATATTTTCACCGTTAAAATCCTCATCTAAACAATTTTCTCAACATGAATTAAGCCTCAATCAAGCTATAACATGCTCAATCAAAACAAACTTTCAAAATGGAAATATAAATTCAATTTTCCTCAAAACTCAAAGAAAACTAGGATTTCTTAACATAAACTTACCTAGAACGAAAGGGAAAGCTTACTTCAAGCTCCTATGGCTTCAAGTTCCATCAAAATCCCCATTTTCCATGAAATTCGAAATCTTAGAGAAAGAAGATCTCTCTCTACAGTGAACCCCATCCAGAAATACTAGTACCAATGGATTCCTCTCGAAATTTCTCGCAAGTTTGGCTTTGGAACGGAGTGATTTGGAGGTCACTAGCTCAAGTTATGAATTTCGAAAGATTTTCCATCAAAATCTCCATTTTCATTTCTTCTCCTCGATTACGCGAAGAAGAGAATAAGAAATAGTGACTCACTTAGTCACTTAAGTGAGTTCACTACTATACCAGCGGGTATAAGCTTATCTATCTACATACCTCCATTCATTACCAAACTTTACCCAATAGACTAGAATATTGTTCTAGTCATGTTTCTAACTTTACTTTCAGTTGTTGGGTAACTTTGTTTACCTGCATTTTTAACCTTTAGCTGTCATTTTAACTCCTTTTTCACTTAACTCCTTTTTCACCAAAGGTGACTTTATTTATTTTTCTTCTAATTATTCTTCAATATTAAATCAATAACTACTAGTAAGGTTATTATAATCTATTTAACATATAGGGACAATTCAAATACCCCTTGTGGTTTACCTTTGAATCACTTATCCACCTATGATTTTTTATTTACCCCCGTGCTTTTTTCCATCCGAATTCATTTTTAACGGTGTTAAAATTTTTAATTAATATGACTATTCTACCCTTTTTACAAAATTACATTTTAGCTACTATGTGTGATCTACCCCAAATTTTATTGGGTTTTTTTTACCATACAAACATGTTTGCCACGAGAAGTTTGAAAAATTTGTGTGCCTAGCTATATTGTACATACAAGAGGTGACTATGATGTGAGTTGTACATGAGGGACCGAAGCACAGCACGTATCATGGCTTTTTCTTAGCACATGCGTCCAAGGTTCATAAGAATTATTATATCTTCAACTGATTAGGTGTAGTTAAGTTTGGTCAGTGCAAAATCTGGTTGATGGTTTTTATTTGTATTATATCTCCATCTCATGTTGATGGTTTTTATACTAGTGTGTATATAATCCGCTTATGCAATTGGGTCACATACCTATTTTCTCCATTTTCATTAGCTCCTCCTTTTGGCAAACAAAGATGAGAGGTTTAGATTACTACTTGCCAGCAATGGCTATGTTGTTCATACAGTTTATTTATGCAGGTATGAGTCTTGGCACAAGAACTGTTCTCTTACAGGGAATGAGTCCAAGGGTATTTATAGTGTACAGGCAAGTTTTTGCAACCATTGTGCTTGCTCCAGTAGCTTATTTCTCAGGGTATTGAAGTCCTCATCACCATCTCTTTGTCCTTTTTTCTTTTCTGACACTATCCCTTCCCCCTCATGTTTGTTTATATATTTGTTTCTTTCCTTTGACAGGAGAATGTCTGGCTCATATTCCTTAAATTTAAGGAGTTTTTCCTTGATATTCTTGACCTCATTAATTGGGTTTGTTTCCATTCTTAAGTTCTATATATGTGTGTGTGTTGTCTTAGATTTAGTAAAATGGGATTTTAAGGACATGAGATTAATTAGTCTTTTTGTTTTGTTACTAATGGGATATGATGCAGCATTACATTGAATCAAAATTTATATTTTGAGGGTCTATATCTGGCCTCAGCTTCAATTGCAAGTGCAATGGCCAATCTTGTTCCAGCCCTCACATTTGTGATAGCAGCTTTTACAGGGTAATTAATGCCTAAAACTCACTTCAAATTGTTTATAAATCCATTCATAGAGGCTTAGGGTGCAATGCATAGAATAGAACTAGCCAGAAGTATTATTGTGATTGTGTTAATCAAAAACTCAAATGTTTTTCTTTCACTCTGGAATTGATTAGAATGGAGAGAGTGAATATTCGAAGCTTGAGAACTTTAGCCAAGATAGTAGGGACAGTAATCTGTATAAGTGGAGCAGCTTCCATTGCTCTGTTGAAGGGTCCAAAGCTACTAAATGCAGAAAACCTGCCTTCAAAATCAATCATGGGCTCAGAAGGTCAGAACTGGTTGCTGGGTATTCTATTTATCTTTGGAAGCAATTGTGCCTGGGCACTTTGGCTCATTTTGCAGGTATTTTTTAATGTCAACAACGGTTAGATACATGATATAAAATCATTCACCTAACAGCAAAGAGTTGGTTCGTGATATATCATAACCTCTATAAGCAAGTGGGGTAGAGTTTGATCCTATCAATTCTATTCTTTTAATAAAAAGTTTTATTTTAGTACAAGATAAATAAGCATATAAGAGGGCGAGCCTACAGCAATGACAAAATTGTTCCATTGTGACTGAAAAAGATCACGGGTTTAAATCTAGAAAACAAAATCTTTACAAGTATGCAAGGGTAAGACCGTTTAAAAGGATTGACCTTACCTCTACCGTCGTTAGTTGAAGTTTAATGAGGAGTGGTTTACAAGATAAATAAGCATATACATTGTCCGCGCTTTAATCCCAAAAAGGGTTGTCTTTACCTAACAGTTTTAAGATTTTTGGAGAGTTATTCATGACAATGACCATAGAAGCATCATTCGTATATATTTTACATTGAACTTTCCTTTATCTCTTCCTCAGGTTCCAGCATCCGCAAGCCACCCAGATCACCTATCTTTTGGATTCTGGATGTGTTTGATGGCAACATTACAATCAGCAGCAGTGACAGTATTCTTGGAGCCAGACCCAAATGCATGGAAGATTAATTCTCTACTTGAGTTTGGTTGCTCTTTATACGCAGTACGTGGATGATTTCCCATGAGATATACAACACTTATAAATGCATCAATAGTGGTCTGATTAATCCATATTGCAATTAATATAATCTCTGCAGGGAGTTATGGGATCTTCAGTGTTGATCTCTCTTCAAGCATGGTGCATTTCACAGAGAGGTCCTCTCTTCTCTGCAATGTTCAATCCTCTGTTCACAGTGATTGTGACTGTATTGGCTGCCTTATTACTTCATGAGGAAATATACATTGGAAGGTAATGTTAACTGATCTGAACACGACTCTAGTATCAATAATTTAAAATTTCATGTGAATTTGGCAAAAAATTTTTTATCATCTAACTAGTTCGAGCAGTATTGGACCAGTATTGAGAGTGACTCTCCCAAGATCATTTTTCCCACCTCATAGACTCGAACTTGATACCAGTTAAGGAAAACAAACTCTTTACCACTTGAATCAATAATTGTTGATCTGGTGAAGATTTTTTTGTCTCTCTCTTTAAATAGACATAAAATAGGTGGGGCACTATTAAATTTTGGGAATGTTCACAAAAAAAGAAAGGAAAATGATCCGTTTCCAAATTTTTTTTTAAAATTTTTTGCAAATTACACTATGTACTTCTGGAAGTACATAATATAATCTAGTGTACTTCCGGGAGTATACAGTGTAATTTGTAAGAGTTTGTAAATAAAAAGTTTGTAAATATAACTCTCCCCAAAAAGAAATAGATACAAAATTTTCACATATAAAATTTTAACTTAGAGATAATCCTTGTGTGTGACACTTTTGTTTTATATCTGTTAGCTTGATAGGTGCAATTGGAGTGATCATTGGCTTGTATGTTGTGCTTTGGGGTAAAGCTGAGGAAGTTGTTAAAGCGAAAGATGAGAGAGATCCAAAATCAATGGTTAATACGACAGAGGAAGGGAAAGTATTGATAAATGAATCTTCTGAAAAAGCATATTGTAAAACTGATTTGGAAGAACCCCTTTTATCTGCTAAATCTTCTTCACATTATTAAAAGGAGTTTGTATTAGATTTGAATGTCTTAATAGCATTTTTATTTTATTTTCCTATGACATATTCTGAGCATGCTGTAGACGAAGTTACTTCAAAATATTTTTTTATTTGCAAGTCCTTATCAGAGAAATGCAAAATGAAATTGACCTACTCCATTCTAAAGTTCAGAACAATTTTGTTGGGTCATGTAAAGGCATTTTATTTAAGACTTGCATCATGTCATGTGGAGATGCCATATTAGATAAGTCCTAAGTCTGTGTAGAAGAAACTTCCTTGCATATATCCTCACCCACTTGGATTTGTTAACTTAAAGACCACGTTATTCAAAGTTAAAATACTCAAATTTAAATATATTGTTTATCAGTTATCAACGTACTCTAAATGAATTTGTCTATAAAGTAAGTAAATAAGAGTATTTCTACTCTTAAGTTTTAGTTAGTAAAAATCACAATACATTTTCAATTTAATTTTAAAAAAATGGATATATTCTTAAATCTTAATTACTTTCTCATTTTACTAGACAGACATACAAGATTAACATAATTTGTTCAATGATATTTGTATGTATACTCCATTCTTTAGTTTTTCACAGTTCTCCGTTTCACATAGTTATAGTGACCAATGTAAATTTGCCAAAAAAAGACTGAAACCAATTATTTAAAAGGAACAGTCAACGTTTCTAAGCAATAATCATTAATAATATCTCAGGCTACTGCATATGCAGAACGTGGTGGTATCTCACTGCATATGTATTATGTAGAACTTTGGAACCCCAATAATGCATATGTAGGTCATGTGATTCTTGCATATGCAGCTCCATGACTAATTACTGCTTTATATGCTGGTTTGTGATTCCTCATTACTGCATTTTCATGCTCTATGATGCAACATGTGATTATACCTTATCACATCAATATTGGATTTAATTACACACGGTTGAGATTCCTATTGTTGTTTTCTGGAAAGACTTCGATCTCCAAGTGAGATGATATCTCGAGCTGGGGATGTATCTTAATGGGATGATGTTACATCCCCGTCTCGAGCCGATTCAATTAACATACATATGATATAAACAGATACAGCGGAAGACTTATCTTACGGAAATACGGCTAACTTTTTTCTTTTTCTTCTTAGCTTCATATAAAGCATAACCAAAAATCGGACAGAGTAACCTCTGTAAATCGGACTACTGAGGATTTTCCAATCCCACTCCCAAGAGTTCCTGATAGACAGTTTCAATAGTATTCATATTCAGAAGTACCAGTCATGCAATATAATCAGATACCCATCCATGGGCGCATACAGAATTTGGCTCCGTGCCACTAATCTAACAGCATGCAGTCCAATACAGAAACATAACTGAATACTACATAGTCATATCAACATGCCTGAATACAAAAGGTAGATGCATCCACTGAATGACATGTACAAGACATATACAGGCCATATACAAAATACAGGATCTAACATAATGATCCATCACTACGGAAATACGAAATACATAGGTACACTCCAAAAAGATTAGTATCCTATAGCTACTCAAAATACTGATTCGTCAAACATCTCAGCCCCGTGTCGTGTCCCTGCCTAACGAAGGCTCACCGAAAGTCTGTGCACCTGAAAATGTTGCCCCAACGAGGGGTAAGATTTCAAATCTCAGTAAGCTCCAGGTTTATAGAGAATTCTCCATACCCCTGGCTCGCTCCTGCATGAAAGTCAGATACAGAGTATACCAGTACAACATATAACAGATATCATAACAGAACAAAACATATAACCATGTCATAACAGAGGTGTGGGCTGTAATTCCCAAGGGATGACCCCAAGCGGAATTCAACGCACGTGTTCCCAAGGGATGACCCCAAGCGGAACCAGAGTATCTCAGAGGTGTACATAGTCAATCTCAGGAAAGTCCTAAGAAGACATCAGTGTACCAGAAGTCAATACATAATTTATATCAGAACCAGTCATATCATATCATGTCATATCATATCATATCATATCATCAAATAACTCTATATGAATGCACCTATACAGAGTATTAATACAGTCATAGAGTCCAACCATAGTCCACTAACTATGGTGGAGCACTCCAGTAGGAAAAGACTCCTTAAACATAGAGCTTACCTCTTGAAGCTTTACCAATACGCTTACTTGTGGAACAAGTTACTTTTATCGCTTCAAGAGATTTCCGATCCTTCTCAATCCCTAACCTAGAGAATAATTTACAATGCATCAATAAAATGATACTCTGCCATGATTATTTCATAAGCATACATTTTATCGCTTATTTTCCTTTCTTTATATTTTTGCCAATTCTATGCCAATACACAAGTCTAGACCTCTATATACCCGTTGACGTTCTTTAATTTAATTAAGCATTTCCTTAAGAATTTTCCACATAAATCACGCTATTTTCTTTAAAGTCGCAGGCATACCCTTAGGGACTCAAGGTATTTTTCAACCATTTTTCCTGTTATTTCACTTCTTAACTCGTCCATGGGTACATTAAAATGCAACACATTTTATTAGAATAAAATGTAACCAATATATATATACCCCTAAACATCCTATAGTTCGAAACATAGAGCAAGTATTTGTAGGATTTTTTTCCAACTTTGGCATTTCCACCAATTCATCCATTTACACTACATTCCAACATATTTTACCTCTTCAAACATACAATAAAAATTTGCATAATAACTCTTATTACCCTATCAAAGGCCGAACATAAGGAGGGAAAACATATGATTTTTCTCTACTTTTTAACATGCATCAAAATGCTCTTTTCATTACTTACATCCAAGGTACCAAGGATTCATCAACAAATCAATTTTTAACTCATAATACTCTCCCATCAAAACATATCTATCAATTTATAACTTAAATAATCAAGTCAACATCATGAGAATAGAGGTTTGTTACCTCCAACAACTACCCCAAAGCCTAGAAGTCCTTTACCAAAAGGATCTCCCCCAAAAACTTCATTTTTGCCCTCTTGATGAATAGTGCACGAATTTGGAGGAGAGGATAACTCTTCACACACTCAACAAAACCTCAAATTGATGGTTGGAATGGGTTCATTGGGTGGTTTACAAGCAATTTCATGTGGTGGGTCTTTGAATTTGGAGTAGAAATGATGGAGAATCAAGGAGGAGAAATTCAAAACCCTACCCCCCTTCTCCAATGGTGCAGCTCGGGTTTGAGAGGGTGAGAGGAGAGAGAAACTGATTTGGGATAATGAGACTTAGTCACTTATAAGGCTAGCACATGTGGCCTTTTTTAACAGATATTTTTCTATCGCGTATTTTACTTAAAATGACCCGAAACTTAACTTAAAGATACGGACTTATTTTTATTTTTCTGTCCACATTTACATTCATTTTTATTTCCCAAGAAACAATATTCATAATTCACAGTACGGTTTCTGCACCGTTTTTGACGAAAAGCACTGTGAACCACTAACTGTACTTTATTTATTTTTGAAACTTAACACTTATAAACTTATCATTTTCTTGGGCCTGTTTTGACTTGTATGGCATATATTGGACTTTCTCACTCTCATTCCATCATTTATTTATTTTCTGGACTCTACCGGTTGCTCAACAGCAGTACAAAATACCCGGTAAAAACACTATTCACGAGATTTTCACGAAAAGTGCAAGACTATACAATTTTTCATTCTGAACTCATATTTGTCGTCAGAATTGTCAAATTATGTCTCTAAAATCATTTTGCTTATTTAAGCTCTACCGGTTAATTCACGAGACTGCGAATTCTCCGACAGAACGCACTGTTCATAACATAGTCATGATTACAATCAAAATACTCAGAATCACTCACTGAATCTAATTATGGCATTTAAATCCTTAAATTAAATCTCTAATTAAGATTTACCAGTTAGGGTCATTATAGATGATATGACTACAATCGAAGATGATGAGTGTTAGAAGGAAACTCTATATTGAAAGTGTAGTATCTGTGCAAACAAACACTGAAGTAGTATGTGGAATTCAAATATCATCCCCATAGAACGATTGATTTGGGTTCTTTTTTATCCTATATCAAATTCTTGAATATAAAAGAATCAGGCTTTCAAACTAAAGAAAAGACCAAAGGAATTTAAATTTTATTCAACTAAGAACAACAATTAATAAACTCTGGAATTCTTGAATCATGGATTTTCCCAAAGAATTTCGCATTCTGCGTTTTACTACTGCTAGAGCACTTTCGTAACAGAATTTGAACTAGTAAAGCAATTTCGCTAGAACTTCGCAATTCCAGTTTTAATTTCCAAAAGAATCCTTTCCCAAACTCTTTTGATTAGCAAGAATGCATTCACTTAATTTTCCAATCACAGTTCATGCAAGAATCTTTCCCAAGATTTCTTGAAACTAAGAGAGTTGCTATTCAAATGAAATAAAATAGCATCATAGTGTGTGTTCAGTAAAAAAATGGGTACATCCAATCATCTCAAATTTCAAAAAAGAAGAACTAAAGATACTGAAATTTTTAAAGAGACATGCATTACACTTCTTCGAAGGAGAAGTTTAAAAAGGATACAGACAAGTTGTTCTTCAAATTATTATTGTTTAAACTGAAAGATTAACAACAGAACAATAACTCCACACGATGCACTTGAAATGGGTCTTCTTGAATCTCTTCAAAGGTGACTCTTTCTTGTGCTCGCGTCTTCAGAAAGTTAAAAACTAAAAAAATGGGAACTTGAAGAAAAACTAGAACTCTTAACTTCTTGCCAATGTAAAACTAAAATGACTCAAGTCTCTAATTCAAAAAAAAAACTCCTCTACTTAATTAAAAACAAAAAGAGCTCCAAAGATTCATTACTTTCCATCCATACCTGTGCTCATCCAGCGGTCCAGCTCTTTTTCTATTTCCAAAAAGTGAATCCATGTGGCTCTTTCACTGCAACAAAATAGTGACTAAGGTAAGTAAATTTTACTTATCCATTTACCATTCTTTTTTTCTTTTTACCTTACT